TTTCTCATCCTTCATTGTACAACTGGGCTGCCTAGATGGATCAGGGGAGGGATCAAGCCCAACAAACACACCCAACATCCCCCCCAAAAAGCCCAAATCCCCCCTTTCCCGAGCCAACACTCAGGACAGGTCTGTGAGCACGGCCTGTGCATGTACTCAGGTTAATAAAATGACCCAAAACTGAGGGGGATGAGCCCAGTGTGACAACCTGGGTGTCACCAACCCCACCAGCACAACCTGGAGGGAGGACAGTGCTTCTGCTTCCAGGTCATGGAGGTTGACTTGATCAGGTCAAGATCATAAACTGATGAAAACCTCTGAAAACCACGGCAGAAAGCCACCCACCCTTCAGATGTGCTGTCCATGGAGAAAATCCCTCATCCCTGCACCCCCACTGTCCGTCCTCACTTCCCCTTCTTGGCAATTAAAGCAATAAATAAAGGTGAAGGAATCTCATTCCATTTTTAAGGCAAAAGGCATGAAAACAGAGAGTAAAGGGCACTGCTGGGAGGGAAGGGGCTGTAATTAAACCCTCCCACTCTTTATGTTTTTGCTGCTTTACTGAAGGCCTGACTAAAACGCCCTTAAAACCTTACTCCACAAAAGCAGGAGAAAGACCCCCCCCTTCCCCTCCCACCACCCACCACTAAATGGAATGAAATGGATTTTTCAAATGTCATGCTAGTATCCACTTAATAATACATTTTCCTATAGACAGGACAATAATATATATTTTAATCACTTTTCTACAGGCAAATAAACGGCATGGAAGCCTGGCCTTCACTGGCGCTTGGAAATTATGAATTTTTCAATAACCTTTTCTATTATTCATCCCGTGTTATTCCGTAACATTTCTATGTGAGGAATGTGCTTGCCAGACACTTTATGAATCTCTTCTTTTATTTATTAAACAGCAAGGTGTCTCCCTGAAACCCCTCCTCCCTCCCCTGGAAAGATGTCGGCGGAGCCTGAGCAAGGCTTAAGACATAGATAATTACACCTTGGGTCATTAATAATTTCCCCTCTGCAAGAGTGGCCACGTGAGCAGCTCCTGGGATGCAGCTGGCTCAGCCTCAGGTGGGTCTGGGGGCAGATTCCCAGAATAAAATCCAAAGTTTAGGGAAGAGGACAATGGAGTGGGCTTCAGGGATATGTCATATTAATACATCTTTATATAGGAAGGGATCCACAGCTGACACAGCACAATTCCCTTGGCTCTGGTAAGGATGAGCCAAGTTAGAAATCAAGGCTGTGCCCGTGGATTTTGGGTTTGGGAGAAGCCAGCTCTGTATCCCTGGCTCCTATGGGCACCCTCATGAGGGTCTGCACTGTGTCCTGCTGGATTGGGTGTCCAGAGGCCCAAAGAAAGCCTTTTCCACACCAAAACACCAGTGCCCCAGTGTCCCTCATCATTCACACAGTGACCTGCTGCAGGAACGACCTTATAAACAGAAAGAAAGTCCTTTTCATGTGTGCCTGCACCTGCCCCTGAGCAGAGACACAAATGTGTGTGCTGGGGCTTTGCTGCGTGCCCGGGTGCCGTGTATGGCACGGGAAGGGATCAAACAGGGAAGCACCACTCCCAACACCTAATACCAGCTTAATTATGGGATGGTATCTGCCACTTACGTCCCTGCACAGCGCACAGAGCTCAGCAGCTGACGGCAAAGATCGTCTGATGCGACCCAATTAGGGATCCAGCTCCGACACTGGAGAGCCGAACGCACGGCAAAAAGGAAAAGCAAAGGAGGCGACAAGGAAGCAGACCTGGAATTAATCTGAGTGCTGTGCTCATGGGTACCCACGAGGCAATGGTTAAAAAGATTTCTAATTTGAAGGCAATGACCTCGTGGGGGAAGAGTGGGGGTGCTCTTCTTGCAGCAAGAGGGACCTTATTATTTTGCAAATGACATCTCCATCACAAGGCAGAGCCTCTCGAGCTGAAATACAGATGAATAAATGATACGTGGAGGAGCTTTATGCAGATTCTTGGTGGAGACATGAAGAAAAGGGGAAAAAGAAAAAAAAAAAGATAGAAAATCAAGGCATAGATTTCCCACAATGTTGCCATTCCCATCTCCAAGGTTCAGATAGCAGCGTCAACTTGGGAATTTATTAAAAAAAAAAAAAAATCGAAACTACAGCCTGGCCTGGAGCTCTGCACTTAAGAAAGAAAAAGGAATTTTAAAATGGGATGCTGGATCTAAAAGCAGCTTTGGCAGCTCAGCTCAAAGCAGCCAGAGCATCCCTAGGCACGGTCCTGGTTCAGCATCCAGGGACTTTGTCCCACACATGGAGAGCTGGAGTTGATGGGACCAGCCAGACTCCCATCCAAGCCTTTTTTCCCTCAGTATCTTTCATTAGCTGATGCCTCCTGCCTGCCACAAGGACAAGAGGAAGGACATCGCCCCAGCCTGTGGCCTGCAGCCTGTTCCATACCTGTTCAAATACTGATAACTCCTACTCCGGTGCCTCAGGTGGCTGTGGGCTGACACTTGGCAAAGGATTTCTCTGATAACTCCTTGTAATCAGGATGGGAAAACAGCCCCACTGAACCCAACAAAAAAATAGATTAAAATAAAAAAAAAAAAAGCAACTGTGAGAAAAAGCTGGTGACAGGGACTGTAATGGATTTTCAGGGGCGGGAAATGCTTTTGGTTCAACTTTTTGTTGTTGCAGCAGGGGGCTGGAATTGGAGGAATTGATTGCAGAGCAGGGATGCAGCTCAACATGCCGAGGCCAGTGTCCCTGCTCCAGGGGCCTTGCTAGACAGCCTCCAAGGAAAAAAATCATTGCACTATTGTTACTGATAGTGTGATAATGTGGGGAATCCATGAGGCAGAGGAAGTGTCCTACCGCAGGAAAGAAGTTCTAATAAAATGAGGAAAATCTCTAGGAAATTCTTTTTTTTCTATACCCTGAGGATGAGGAGGAGAAGCACAGAGAAACACCAGCTAGTTGCTATGCCCAGGATGGCAAAGGTCCTGTCTGAGGTACAAACCCTGCAGGCTTTATCCAGGTGTGAACAGGAGTGACCGTGGGCAGTGAATCCCAGTGCCTTCATTAGCCAGAATTCCTACTTCATGCCCAGCACTGGTTATTTTTAAACCTGCAAATCTCACATGAGCAGAAAGCCCAGAAGATGGGCAGCTCCAGCCAGAGAAGTAATATCCATGGACAATGGCAGCATGGAGGGGTGAAGGAACAGGAGAGCAGGGCTGGGACAGGACGCTGTGAGAAAGGACAAGAGCAACAATCTTGGGGTTCAGCGTGGATGGTGAACACCAGAACTGCTCCAAGACAGCCAGGAATCTTGGAGATTCCCAGTGACTGTGAGAGCACTGAGGTGCTGGCACAGGGTGCCCAGAGAAGTTGTGGATGCTCCATCCCTGGAAGTGTCCAAGGCCAAGTTGGGTTAAATTAGGGTTAGAGATGGATGGGGTTGGAGAAACCTGGTCTAGTGGAATGTCCATGGCAGGGGGTAGGGATGAGATGAGCTTTAAAATCCATTCCAATCCAAACAATTCTGGGATTCTGTGCTTGTATGATCCATAATCAGCAGGGCTGGGAGGAGGGAACAATTGCTCAGGGGGGATTTCCAGGCAGAGAGAAGGGGTGGGTCAGAGAGGAGAAGGGATCACCATCCTCATGCATTCCTTTCAACCACCACCAGCATGGAAGGCTGACCTGACTTTCCCAATCCCACAGGAATTTCTGAAATTAATAACAGAGGCTCCCAACTGCACCCACCTCTGCAGCTCTGCCAAAAGCACCAAGGGCAACCCAAAATTGAGGCTGCCCAGATCCCAGCCTGTCGCATTCACTCCCTGTCTTTGTCCTTGGGATGAAGGTTCTGGCAATCAGATCCAACCCCAGCTAGTGGGAAGTGAGGCTTTTTGGACCTTGTGAACCTCACGACAACCAGAATCTCCAGGAAAATGGAAGAAGTTTCCATGTTGTGCTGGCCAACTTCTCCAGAAGGATCTGGTGGGTTTGGCTCAGTGTAGGTACCAAAGGAAACAGCCACATTTTCCAACGTCCTCGAGTTGGCTGTCGAGCCTCTGAAATGCAGGAATTTGTCCAGCAATCCAAGCTGAGCTCTTTGGGAAACACAGACTGAACTAACCACTTGGAAAACAGCTTCCAAGTCTCTCTGAAGCTTTCCCCTGAAATGACAGCTCCAACTTTTTAATGGCACCCAAAGTATTTTCAGCCTGGTTTCCTGAGGAAATGAGCCTTACACACCGGCAGTGCCTGCCCGGCTGTTTCCTTTCCCCATCTCCAGTGATTTCTAAACCTTATAACCCATTTCAATAAAATCTGATGGAAGGACACATTTATCTCCAAGATACAAGTTTGGGGAAAATAGGGAACTAGTCAGATGAAAGATACTATTAAAGCTTTTACCCAGAGAAAGGCAGCACTGTGAATTCAACTTCTTTAAAGCATCAGAAAATCTAGCATGAGTTTGCTCTCGAGACACAGGCACAGGGATCCAGGAATAATTATTTCTGCTGCTCATGGAAGTAGCTGTGTGTGTTTTTTATATGTATGAAATCAACACTAGAATATTTGCCTGGATAAACTAATCGAAATTGCTTGTTGGATGAGTTCACCGGCTATAAAACCCTGCAGTTACAAGGTATAATTACAGCAGCTTTTATTTTCCTCAACAAAAAAAGTCTTCATTAAAACAGAGTTAAGGTTGTAAACAGATCATTAATTTACAACAACATTATCAGATGGGTTACAGTTATTAAAAGAGCACACACTGAAGAGCCAGGAAACCGAGGAGTGAAGGTTAAAACCAGCTGAAATTTGGAAAGCTGAGTTTCATAAATATCCCAGCCCCAGCCTGATCAGTTGCAGGGATACTGCAGCAAGGACACCTGGAGAGATCTGCATTATGGATGGGCTGGTGGGAGGCCCAGCAATGCCAGAGATGCTCTTGGATCAGGCACGGGCACGGAGCTTCCCGGGAGAGCTCTGGAGATGCTGAGATCTGCTCTGGGGGAAGGTGCCCCTGCTCATGGCAGGGGGGTGGAACAAGATGGGCTTTAAGGTCCCTTCTGACCCAAACCAGTCTGGGATTGCCCCACTGAGCACCACAGGGATCCCAGGAGACTGAGTCTCATCCTGGATGACACCTCCTGAGACCTTCCTGGGCTGCAGCTCGTCTCACATGGATCATAGAACCCAGAGGGGTCAGCCCAAATATCCCAGCCCCACCTGGAACCCTCGGGGTGCCCAGGTGTGCCCCAGAACAGTGACAGCACGGGGACCACACCAGGGGATGCCCAGCAAAGCCACCCTTCTCTTCTGAAGGAAAAGCTCATTTGAACTCTGCCTTTGGAGAGCAAAGACCACCAGGACCATGGAATCATGGTGAGAGGGACCAGGATGGGATTTCACCCAGGATCTCAGGACCTGCCACGTCCCTGTGCTGCTCCATTCAGGCAAAGGTCTCCTCTGGGCAGCAGAGCTGAGCTAACAGCAAATGAAGGTGAGTTCACACAGGGGAAATCACAGGAATTCAGAGAGAATTGGGGTTTTCAGCTGTTTGCTTTCCCTCTCAGCCTTGGGTTTGCATTCCTTTTATCCCTTATTTTTTTTGTAAGTACAGAGTATTAGCTGTCTCTCAGTAGCTCCTGAAGGAGTCAAGAGCTGGAGTGATGAACCCAGCAGGGAAAGGACAAGCATCCCACGTGTCTCCAGCTCCAAGAAAATCTGTGATTTGGTGTCTTGCCATAACCAATTCCCTCGCAGCCATGACTCGAGGCCTCCTTCTTCCCTTGAAACCTGCCCCAGGTTTGCTTTCAGCACATCGAGTGGAGAGAGAGAGAGAGAAATACAATTGTGGAAAACCTTTTAAAGCCTGCACAGCTCTCCCTTGATATCACATTGTTAAAAGGGATGTTATTGCAAGGGGACACTGTGAATCCATACAGTCAATGCTCCAGAACTTTAGTGGCAAAACAACTCAATAGCCTCAATTGACTGCATGAAATTCTATCATTTTACCACTAGAAAGAAAGAAGGCAGGAGAAAAAAAAAATAAATAAGAGACTACATTTCATTTGTCTTTCGTTAACTCCCTGGCCAAGAGCATCTCAATCCCTGTCCTTAGCACAATGTGAGCCAACTCCTAAGTGGCTCCAATAAAAAAACAAAGAGCCAGATACATCCCAAATGCACTCCCACACTCCAGAGCTGCTCTCCTGACTACCCCAAAAAGAACAGCCTCGGCAGCATAAAGACACAGCATCAGCCTCAGGCAGCTGCCTTGATTACCACCTTCCCTCTGATGAAGATGACGTGGGATATGATTAAAGATGCTCTGAAAAGACACACAAGTAATAGAGGAGAACTTTTTGCCTCCTTTCCCCAGCTAGGTCACTAGGTGTTCCTCCTCAGCAGCTGATTTCTTATTCCAAATTTGTCCAGACCTTGCTCTTCTTCATCAGCTGAAGAGCTCGCAGACCGCCGGCGCCTGGGCTGCTCCTCTCCTGCTGATTGGGCTTTGTGGCTCTTGGGAAGCTCTGCCTGATGGCAGGAATCTGTCTGCACCCTCCACCAACTGGTGCTTAAACGGGCTCCAAGGCATTGTGGAGGGTTCAGAGCATCACAAAGAACCAGCAAGTATTACTTTTGTAAAGCAAAACCCCTGCTTAGCTTCTTTCCCCCTCCTTTTTCTCATGCTCTACACTCAGGAATTCAGCTGCTTTGGCCACAGCCGCTCGGAGAGATGCCAATCACCCCGAGCTGCCCTCGCTCCATCCCCACGAGGGAGAGAAAAGATGCTTTTATTTTGGGTAGCGCAATCCAGCAGGCAGGTGAGGGGGCTGAGAGAGCAGGCAGGGCCTGGCTGTCTCCCCACACTGCAGTGTGACTTTGGGAAGTCACCGCACTCCGCCGGGTCCCCTCCCATTTTCCTTCTCCGCTGCCCTTCTCTGCCATCTGACACACGGGCTGTTTCCTTGTCCCCCGTCCAAGCCCGAGCCGCCGCAGAGCTCCCTGCAAATGCTAATGAGCGGTGCCATTGCAACCTGGACGTGCAGGGCTGAACATCTGTGCTTCCACAGAAACCTCTGGATGAGGGCTGCAGGGATGGAGCAGCACAGCCAGCAGGGCTTTGCCTCAGCCCCAAACCGTCCTCTGCACTTAGAGCTGCCCACCCCAAAAATTCCATCTCCATTCCCATCCATATTCCACCGAGACTGAGCACGGGATGAGCACAGGGACGCAGGAGGGACGGAGCCGACTTGTGCAGCCTCCTCTGTGCAAGGCAGCACCTGCCGGGATGTCTCATCACAGCCAATTGATATTCTACTGAGCATCTTTGGAAAAATAATCTGCAAACAAGACGCTGCAGGCTATAAAATCACTCCCTCTCCTTCGCTTTAGTTCGCAGCTTAATAAAAGCATAACACAAGGTAGCCGAGGAAACCGCCGCACTTTGCCCAACCACATCATCCCTTTGTGTATTATTAATCGGTTTCAAGTTGTACCACGGCTTCCTGGGGTGGGGAGGAGAAGGGCTCCGGTTGTGGAGGAGACTTGTCTTTCCCTTTCAAGATTTGCTACTAAAGTCTCACTTAACAGAGCAGCGGAGAAAGAGAGTGGCACTTACACCTCTGGCTCCCCACCATGATCACAGTGAGGATCGATAGGAAAATCATTTGGGGTTTGTCTCTGCTGAAGGACACAGGCACAGCACTGAAATGGAGAAGTTTCAGCCAAATTGGGTGGAAAAAGCATTGTTGGGAAAATGGGGAAAACATACCCATTTCTGAGAGCAGAATGAGGCCCTAAGTGGCACCCTGGTATTTTACAGTGGATGTCTCTCACTCAAAGCTTTCCAACTCTCCCTTGCTTCATAAAATCATAGAATTCAGTTTGAGAAAGACCTCTAAGATCTTTCTGAGTCCCTGATGGGTTTGCAACAGCTCCGTGCAGGGGTCTCCTCCCTGATCACAACACATCACACAGGAACATTAATTCTGAGGTCTGCAACCTGTTCCCAGACCTCCACATGGGTTTGGTTTCAGGCACAGGCAGAACCCTCTCCAAATGCTCCCAGGATGGAATCAGCAGCTCCCTGGATGCTGCAGAGTGTATTGCTCTGAGATGCTGAGTGCTCCCATCTGTGGATTTCAGTATCACCTGGATGAAGAAGGGTTTTACAGTGGGGAAGAAAGGCACGGAGCATCCATCAGAACCCCAGGAGCTGCACGGGCAGGAGACCAATAGGCTGCTGCAGAGGCTTCTGATAATTTTTCCACTCCCACTAAAAAAGTACAATATATTGTCTATTTGGGAACAGTTTAAGCTGGTTCATTTCACACAGTAAATTAACCTGATTTCTTTAATAGGGGATTTTTATTTGGTGTCAAGCCCCAGCTGTTATCCCAAACCCTGCACCCTGGGACTCCAGCTATTAAACCTTCTCCCTGGACATGGAGCTGGAGGTGCTGCTGGGGCAGCAGGTTTGGTGACACTCAGAAATAAATGGCTCCATCATTTCTAAACATCCTGGCCATTTACTGCTGCCACCTGACCCAAGAGATTTCTCGAAGAAAAGTTGCTTTTTTAGATTTACCAAATGAAAAACAAGGTATTGGGAGCCCTCCTGGAGTGCAGACCCTTCCCAATCTCCTGTGGGAATGCTGAGGGCAGCTCCATGCATAGAAATTCACTGTAGGATGAGATAAAACACTAAAACTCCCTGAATACCCTGGCCAGGGGGAAAATCAAGGTTTTCTTTTCTGGATGGGCTCGGTCTTGACTTCCTTTCACATGGCTGATGCAGTCCAGATGGGAGCTCAGCTCCTGTGCTGGAAATTGGTTCTCTCTGCACCAGGGATGAAGGCCAGGATGTGGCCAAGCTGCTCTAGGTTGGGCAAATAACAGCACGGATCCAGCAGCCCAATTGCTGCCCCCCCTTCCCTTTGGTGGCTTTAATGGGACCAGAACCAGTGGCCAAGCTGGGAGTCACCAGCCCTCTCTCTGCCAGCAGAGAAGCACCATCTTTTGGGATTAAAAAATGCCCTGAGATTTGGAATTCCTGAGAGGCGAAGAGCAGCCCTTTGGAAGTAAGGATGCAGTAATTTTTTTTTTTTTTTTAACTTCCATGGAAAAACCCAGCTCAGCGTGGCACCCACTGCACCGAGCAGAAACTGCCTGTAAGGCAGAGCCCAGTCCTGAAGGCAAAATTCCCCGTCTCCAGTGAATCCAGCATCCCTTCTGCCCCTCTCCCTCCTCCTCCTCGGCTCCCAAACCCCATCCTGGCAGCCGTCACCTCTGCATCCAACCGCTCTGCTCCAATCCACGCCTGGTTAACCAGGTGACAAACGCCCCCAGATAATTTTTCTCCTCTCCCCTATCTGGGGTGCCTCTGACATTTTGATATTTCCCGCTGAGATTATCCTTCACATAATGAATTTTCTTCCCCAGCCTCTCCTTTCCTCGCGCCTTTCGGCTTTGCCGGCGCACGCTCTCCCCCGACTCCGCCGACTCCAGGAGCACGCCCGACACAAGATGAATCGCCCGGAGACTCCTGGTGCATCCTTCTTTACACTTCACATCTTCCCAGCGCCGATGAGAAATGGGTTTTTTCCTCATCCATCATAAGTCAGCGTGACAAGGCTGTCGCTCCCCGGCGCCGCTCCGCTGTATCATGCGCCGCTCCGTCCCGCTCGGCTGAGCTGCCCGCTTCCCTGCGAGCATCTGGGACCTTTCCGAAGTGCTCTGGGCTGGATCGGGAATTTGGGCACTGACAAAAAGTTATTTCTGAACGTTTCCAGCCTCCAAATTGCTCCCTGCCTCCTGGGCTGTGCCCCAGTAAGATCCTGCATGGCTCAGGTTGTGTTAATCCTAAGGAGGATTCGTGTGGAAGGGGAAACTGAGGCACGGAGCAGCTTTGTGACTCCCATGAGGTCTGGCTGTGAGTCAGGAGCAGCCATCCACAAATCCTGCTTTTTATCCCAGCACTGCTTCAATAACCAACCTCCAAACCTGAGCAATGGCATCCAAACCAAAGGAATAAAAAGGTAAAATTGTCAATTCTCATCTCTTCAATAAA